CCTGGCAACACCCTCGCCCGCTCTGTTCACGCCCACCACCCGCCAGAAAGTGATTGGTGCCAGACCTGAGTCCCTCCAGACTGAAATGGGTCTGGCTGGGCTTCAGTCGCAGAGTGCCCCCCTCCGCTCTCCCCGCCGGATATAGAGTTCCACTCCACCCTGTATTCGGACACCTTCAGACCTGAAACGACATTCTTGTGGCAGTGAAGCTTGCAATCATATGATTGCCAGTTAGAAATTTGCACGATTTCCATGAAGGCCATAGCATAAGACGACAGCGAACACTACATCTTCGAAACAAAGTTATAGCTCAATTTAGCATAAATAAGTTTGTTTCATACGATGTTTGCTAATGAGTTTCTATTAACTTTTATTAACTTTTATGCTCGGCATCTGGAAATTAAACTGAGAAGTAAACAAAACATGGCGCTGAAGACTAAATTAGTGCTCCATGATTCGTTCGTTCATTCGCACCTTTGCCGAGGAGCTTCATCTCGACTGAAATGGAGCAGTCGGTTATGGACACGACTGTCAACTCCACATTCGTCACTCCTCGTGATCTGTCCGAGTTCACTGCCCCCAGCCGATTCATTGGATCTAATGACGTCATCGCGATTAGCGTTCGGTGTGTTGCTGTTCTCTGGTTGGTCGGCTGATATGTCGTTCGGATAGGTGGACACTAAGATGACGTCAGAGGGTTTGGAGTCTCGGAAATCGCTGTTGGAGCTGAGCGCCACGACCTGCACTTCGTATTTTCTAAGACACAAGGTGCACCTAGATCAATTGTAGGACCAGCAGTTTCCAATTCACAAAAAAGGCAATGTAGTTAAACGCATTAAATCCATTTTGCTCGTGAAGTCAATCGTGTGCAGTTATTTCGAAAGAAACACTTTCCCCAAAATATCAATTCTAAATTTTTTTTTTCAAATTAGACTAATGAACTAATGCTTTTATTGTCACATTTGTCTATAATTGCCAAAAAATAAGAAGCTCAAAAAACAAACACATTGCCCTAAAAAATAACAAAAGTTTAACTATCAATCTCAAGGTTTGTCTTAAATACAACCAAAAAAAATAGGGCAAAAGTGAAGACACTACAGGCAATTGCCTACAGCATATGACAACCAATCGTGATTTTGTTGACGAAGTAAACTGTATTGAGTTTTGTGATATAGCGGATCATTGAAAACCTCCTTCATTTCACCAATTTGAGTTTGTCCCCCAGCAGAAAAGATTGCAAAAATTTTTGTGCGAACTGAAAAATAGCTTGGGCAAAATTATTTGGAGTAGTAATGACAGCAATGATAACAATAGACTCGTCTCTTCAACCATATAAACAGGACAAACCCAATTTCTTTTTCATTGAAGACCAGAAACCTCTTTAAGTCCATGGCATAATAGCTCGAGTTCACAAATTGCAGAAGCTGCATTCAAAAAAAACTTTAAAAAAATTTCCAAAGTATGAGCTTTAAATTCAAAAAAAATTTTTACATAGAAGCTAAGCTAAGTTTTGCAAACACTCGGGAGAACACAACAAAAAGCAGTTCTCCGAAATGCGATAAGAAAAGGAAGAAATAAGGCTCAAATTAGTAAAAACTCGGCTAAGTCTCGGAATCGATCTGCGACCTAGAGTTTGAAGTCTCACGCACGAACCACTCAGCACGGATGCTTAATAATTCACAAAAACTAGCAATTTATAAAACCGAGAATAGATGCTAAAAAAGTGCCAGTGCTACAAATTGATCAAACACTTTAAATGATCACTTTTAATTTAAAATTAGCTTGGAAAAAAAGAAGTTTCGCAATAAATACAAAAAAATCAATAGACAAATAAGTAGAATACATTACTTTTTTGATCATTCCTATTGATTTTCAAAATTTCAACTTCTTTCTAGCTAATGAGATTTAAAGTTTTCAGTTAATAAAGCTCAAATGTTTTTGAAAATGGCAAAACTTTTTTGAATTTTTCAATCCCTTTAATATCAATATTTTTTTGAGTAATGATTTCAATTTTCTTAATGAACTTTTTCCACTTGCTTTTTCCCTTTTAAATTCAAATCGTAAAAAGTTTATCTTCATAAGATTGCCAGCACCAAAATTCTACCCATTTTGTTAAATATTTTCCTCAATTCACTTTTTGATTAAAATTTTTCATAAATGTATCGCCGACTAATGATAAAACTTCAATCTTATTCATTGCACAAACTTGTTTATGAACAAATTGAAACAAATGCTTAATTTAAATAGGCAGATTCGATTGAGAAAAATGTTGACTACAATTTAAAACAAGGCAGCGTGATTTTTTGCTTCAAATAAAAACATTCAGTGAAGAACAATTATGTACGCGTATCATTGTGGGCGAATCAGCAAAGTTGTTTGCCAAAAAGTTAGCTCCTATTTACCTAAGAGAAAAACAGTTCGCCACTTTTAAAGCTTTTTTACATGAAAAAAAAAAACAATTGCTTTTTCCTTTTTTAAAACACTTGACTGATTTTCAGAAGTTTTGGACATCAACTCGACATGAAATTGCATTAAAATGCAAAGATCAAGACTGGGCTGAATTGAACGCCAAAAATGCCTAAAAGAAAAAAACTTAAATAAATATGGGCTCAAAACACTTTAATTGAAAGTTTCTAAATAGTTTTTGAATGTTTAAATAATTCTAAATAATTTTTGAATGAGAACTTTCAAATGTTTCTTATATCAACATGGCCTGATAAACAGCTTGTTAAGTCAACTATTAATTTTAATCACTGGAAAAACTAAGTTTTTGGAAGTAAATGTTTCAAGCAATTTGGAAATTTGAAATTCGTTCTAAAATTCCTCCAACTGAGCTACGGTGGTTCGCTGTTTTTTTACTGTCTATAATAGCGTAACTCTGTTTCCGAGCAGAGCCTAGCAGCACTTACAAAACAATCTCAAAATAGAACTGTGATAGATCGATAACCTGCGTATTTTAAAACTTCAATCAAATACCTAGCGAATAAGCAACCCAGCAAAGACTGTGTTTCTGAAAAACAATTTTTAGAGTATGGTATGATTGATCATCTTTAAGCCGTGAAATAATCCTGAAACCATTTTTTTACTGCAAAAAGGAGCTCTGCGTATAATAAATGATAAAAGTTTTTCATTTTCTGAAATTTATTGTTTCAAAAATCGAAAACTTACTGAATCTGAATGGTTTTTTTTTGCTGAAAACAGTTTTTTATACTGCATATTTTTGCATTCTAAAACTTCAATTAAAATTATTGTCCCTAAATACCAAGAATAATGAATGCAACCTGCCTTGTTTTGAGAACCTTGATTTGGAATTAGAAGAAATGCTTAATACTTTCAACTCTAATTGTTCAATAAATTCCACAGATTAAAAATTTTGTCTTTTTTAAATTGTTCTCTATTTTCAGAAAAACCCAACCACAAAAAATTGTTCCTGATAACTATATACAAGATGAGTCTTTTCAAATTTTCTTCAGCTAAAAATTTGAGTAAAAAATAGGTGTTTAGGGTACTATGAAATCTGAAAATTAGTCCTAATAAACTTATTAAGCATTGCATTGTTTTTGTAATGATTTTTTTAAACAATTGATCATTAGAAAATGAGAAGAAATTTGTTTACTTTTTCTTTTGGTTCTACTGTACAGTTCTTTGAGCTCAATTCATGAAAAAAGGTTAAATTCAAGGTTGTTATGATAAGATTGGCACATTTAATACGTGTTGAGGAAGAAAACCAGGTCTCGAAGGACGAGCTTGGGAGCTTAGCAGTTCGAGGCTCACTTATTAACTTTTTTTAGTGAAAGGCACAAAATGAAAGATCAAGATAGGATTTTTTAAATGCATAGTCCTGAAGAAAAAATTAGGAAACGTTAAAATATATGTTTTGTATGCAAAAATTTGCATTAAAAATCTCCACTTTTTAGGCAATCAAATTTGGGCTGTGGTGACGATAACTGTTCAAAAACGAGCTCTAATGTCAAATTGTTGAAAAATATAGAAGGGCAGGGTTTCAAAACAGGGGCGGATATAGGATTTTTTCGAGGGGGGAGCGGATTTTCAAAAATTTTCGAAAATTTTGTTGACCATTATATTTTAGGTCGACCGAATTGATTTTCCGAGCTGTTTTGGTCTCAAAAAGACGCTGTTTTGGTCTGAAATTTTCTGCGCCGCAGGCCAAATTTTGAAAAAACAGGCCAAAAAAGGCGTTTTGTAGGCACTTTTTAGAACATTTTGACCAAAAAAAACATTTTGGGTCGGCAGGGGGTCGAATCGCTGAGAGAAAAAAGACGTCCGCCCCCCTCGTCCCCCCCTAAATCCGCCCCTGTTTCAAAATAAGCTATTTTGTGCTTACACTTTTGACAAAAGCCAATAAATTCGGCTTTTTTCACAAATCTTCTTGTGGCACTGAAAACTTCATTTTTCATGTTTGGAGTTTTTTGAAAGTTGGAGAATGGTGTCACGTGTCACCTGACCATTGTGAACAGATTTCATCATTGTTTAAAGCTGCCTTGAAGATGACAATGGGGCTTACCCTGTTGGTTTTTCATTGCAATTCCACGTTTTGTAGGAAGTCCAAGGAATGCGCTGCATTTTAGCCAAAAGTTTAAGGAGTCGAAATTTTTTTATTCAAGGGTCAATAAAACAATACGATTTCTTAAGGCTCTTCCAAAGGAAATCCAATCAATGAAAGATACTGCAGTAAACTGAGGTTTTCCAATGAACGTTTTGTGATCTATAAAAGTCAAACAACAGCGAGCTTTTTTTCCATATACGGGAAAATTAAGCGTTTCAATTATTTTTTGCCGTGTGGTTTAAGAAATTTATTCATGTCGGCCTATGATTTTTAATCCGAGCTTAGACCATAAAAAGCAGACACCTGTTGTATTTGGGATAAATGAAACATCAGTCGGTCAATCCATTTCTCAGATCCATTTTTGTCTATTCGAGGCCTGCAAAAGCTGTAAGATGAGCTTTAAATCACTACAATCGACTAAGGAGCGCAAAACAATGTTCCAAGAACTTTTTTTTTCTTTGAAAATTCATTTTAATTTTAGATTTTGTAATATGACAGGACGTGACCAAAGTATTCGAAAAAATCTTACTTATCCATATTTAATTGTTGCACCGAATAGGGAAAAAACGAAAAAACTATAGTTTGAAGACCATAAAAATTAAAAACTAAATGATAAAAAAAATAGAAATTAAAAATATCTCGCTTTTCATCAGCAGCGGATTTAATGGGGGCCCCCACTCCTCAGGCATTCGACCGATTGGGTCCCCCGACACTGCCGACCGATTGGGTCCCCCTTTGCTACTATTTTAAGACCTCCATTTTTGACTGACTGTCTCTAAATTTTTTCTACAAACGCCTTTGGCGCCAAAAAAGAGTCATTTTGATGGGGAGCGCGCGCAAAAAAAAACGCGAATTTCGGTCAAACTTTTTCCAAAAAGTGCCTGAAACAGAAGTTCGCCTGCCAAACAGAAAAATTGGCCACAATAATATCTTGTTAATGATTCGAGAGAGCTCTTGTCGACCAAGAAAAAAAGAACAACTTTTTCGAGTTTTGTTTAAATCCTATAGATCCACCCCTGCTACTCTTTTTATTACTAACTTGTTTGCTTTGTAAGGAATGAGAGCCTTGAAACAACTTTTGTTCAGCACATTTCCCGCCTTTTTCCCGTCCAGGAACACTTGGTAGCCAGCAATGGAATTGGGTCCATAACACCGCGGCTCCCCCCACTCGATCACGATAGAATGAGGGGTGATGTTCTTCAGGGTGACCCGGGGGGCATCGGGGGCTGCCGGAACCCGGAGAGAGACTGTTTCGCTGCTCCGCGACGATGTGCGCCCAGTGCTGACTACTTGCGCTTCAATTATGCCTCTAAAATTCATAATAAACGTTTGAACAAACGAGTATTAATAAAGGTTTGAATTTTTTATTTAATTTTAATTCCCTTTATATACTTCCATTTCCACTGATTTCCATGGTGTATTTCTTTAAGTTTTGTAGTGAATAGTGACGAGGTCTTTCACAAATCTTCATAACTCTAGTGAGCACAGTCAAAGTAGTCAAAAATTTGTGATCCAAACTTGAACATACCCAAAATTTTGATGAAAGCAAGCCTAAACGTCAAGTTTTAAAACGATGGACTGGATTGCTTAAAGAATTCCAGCAGCGCCAAAGGAGGCACGATAGTTAAAAAAATTAACGTCGAGATGTCAGTTTAAAAAAATTTTACCCTGGAATTGTGACTGGAATCAGATAAGAGCTCTCCTCCCCACCCAATTTAGCCCTCTTCTCCACCTGCCCCTCCCACCTGGCATCCTCTCGGGGCAACATGTACTCCCGCCACACCACCTCGTGTGAACTAATTCCCAAGGCTTCGGCCGACTTCCGTTCACTAGTGTGGAAGTGGGACCATTCCAGTCTCAGGAAGCCCAGATGGGTGGGGCCGAGAGTGAAGTCGTGCACGAAGGAACAGGACACTTTGTGTATGTTACCCACTCGTTTCTCGGGAAGCACCAGCGAAATGGGATCCGAAGTGGACTCATCCTCGGCGTCCAACTGCAACTGTTCTGCTTCAGAGATGTCTTCGTTCTGAAGGGAAATTCATAATACAACTAATATAGACATAATAGACGAATCATAATAGAAAACTACGGAGGACATCGTGCAAGAATCTTCTTCTTGATCAAATAACACAAACTATTGAAAAAAAACACCATTTATTCCAGAGGGAAAAGACTAAGATGCGATCTGTTTAGTTCGTCACGGAGAACCGCTGCTGTGCCTCTGCTTAAGAGTTAGATCCAATTTTGGTTATTTTTCTGGGCTGGGTAATGTTGCCTCACCCTCAAGCAACGAGTACGAATCATAGTGGGCCTCGAACCACCGTCTTTTTGATTAAGGGAAAATGACTTAACCTTTTTTGCCAACAGCTCTTTTTAACATGGTTATCCAAGAGGGAAGGACCAGTTAAGGATATAAAGGGATACATTTGTGAGAGAACATAGAATTGAATTTGGACCTGGAATCTGAGCTTCCTCTTGATGGTTGGTTTCGTGAGTGCAGTTACACACACAGTGTATCTCTTCCCAGGTCTACACTTGGCCAGGAAGCAAGTCTGGGCTGAGGGGGGCAGCTTCGTGAACAACTTCCCATTGGCCAAGACTGTGTAGCCGAGCAACTCGTGCTGTGATTGGCTCTCGGAGGAGAACAGAGTTGGCTTGTCCCAGGCGACACACAGCTGTGAACTGGTATAGCTCTGCACACAGACAATCGGCGCCTCCACCGGATCCGGAGTGCGGCAGAGGAGGGGAGGGCACAGGAGACGGTCGGAAGAATCAGCGTCCGTTTCATAAGCCGAGTTGGTATCTTCGCCACTGTCTGGGAACACTTTCAAGGTCACTTCGTACACCTGCAGAACATAGAGAGAAAACAGTTTTTCGCTTTGTTTTAGAGAGTTTTTGCAGATAAATTGTGACTTATTTTGGAACAGGGTAAAAACAGTTTAAACTCAATCAACAATTGTGAACCCAAACTCTACCAAATTCGGGTTCTGATTGCTAATTTGTATTCATTCTCTTTCGAAAGAAAAGTTATCATATCTACTCAGTGGACTTGACTCACCCTTCCAGGCACGAGGCCCTCAATGCAATAGTGTCTAGTGTCTGCCTTCAGCCTCTTCTTCATTGCTGCTCCTCCTCCTCCTGGTAATGTGTGGCCTTGGGATTGTTCTAGAACATTCCTCCAACTGATGAGTTGGTAGGATGAAGCAGAGGTTGACCACTTGACTCGAATGCTGTGTGGCTGTCTGTCTGTCACAACCAGAGACATACCATCCCCTCTACTCGTTGTCTCAGCCTACATCAAAAAGTATACAGTTTCAAGCAAGGAGAAAAATACAAAGTATGTGGAAAACAATTATTTCAACCAAGAAGAGCTGGGTTTTAGTTTTGTTTTTAATATCAAACTATGATTTTTTTTCTAATCACCATTTTTTCCACTGAAAAAAAAACCAGCACCACAAATAATTGTTAAAAAGGGTTGAGTCGCTCATTAAATTAACGACCTGTTGGTTATTATTCGAAAGACTTTTAAAATTTTTCCCAGTGTCAATTAATAATTGGTTTTGGAAATTCAGAGTTTTCGTCCAATTTTGTACAACTTAGGCAAGCGAACAAGTCTTATTACTGGCATGTGATAGTTACAATCATAAACAAGGCCGCGAACTCCAGTAAAATTATTTTTCAAAGTTTATTTTAGCGCTTCCATGAACAAATCGACAAATAATTATAACAATGAACAGAGTTCAATATAATATAAAAGCTTAATAATAATAAAATTCTCATCAATTTAGCAAGTTTTAATCACCAATAACAGTAACTAACATTGTAAACAGCAAAATCAAATCAATTTATTATTTCAAACTGTACACAATGAGCCAAACTATATGGAGATTAACAAAACGATATCGCAAAACGCTTATCATGGAGGCACACGAATTCACGAAAAAGCAAGAAGCAGAGAATGGCAATGAACAGTGAAAGTGTTCATGTTGGCACTCCCACAAAATCAAGGTGACTCCAGTCACTCAGGGAGAAAGTTTTTTATGTACAAAAAATGACCACTGTCACGAAGTGTTCTGTGGCGGGTCAGACGCCACTATGTCATTGCAACAAATGAAGCAAGTTACCAAAACGCAGCAAGTACCCGTCCACAGCTGCATTATTGCAACTGCCTTTCAAGAGTGTCCGATGAGGAAGCAGTCCAATTTGCTTTGCCTTCGCGCTCTGCCATTAACCGGGCGTTCAACCGACAAAAACAATTGACAGGCATTTCGTTCCGCAAATATATGACATGCACTTCGAATTGTCAAAGAAAACTAATATACTGAGCGAGTTCTTTTTTTGACAATCACGACAATGATAAATTTCATCCAACGTCTGGCTTTGCAATGGAGCCTTTAAAATATTTCCGATGCAGTTGTAGCATCTGAATACCGTTCATATAAAGATAACTAGCTTTTACCCACCTTTCACTTATGCTCTGCTCCACTATAATTGTGAGCACTTTTTCAAAAAAATTCCTGAACTCTTAGAGCTAATTCACGAAGCAGAGCCACAGAGGATTTTCTTCGACTTCGAACGAGCAGCGCTCAACGCTTTCTCGGCCCGCTTTCACGCATCCCAGCTGAAAGGATGCTAATTTCACCTAACTCAAGCCATAAACCAATAAGTTAAAAAAAATTGGACTTAAGCGCATATATGAAGGCAGTCAAGAGCTGAATTTGACATATAGGCGCATTCATGCTTCAAGTTTCGTCCCCAATGAGTTGGTTGAACTTTTGTTTGGCCAAATATTAGAAAAAGTTGCAATTGAACAGTAATTAGACCTTGCAATTAGAAAATTGTTTGAAACATTTCGACCCGGACAATACGCTGAGTGAAAAACTAGATGAGGTTGCTTCCTATTTTAGAGAAGTTATTTCAGCTTAAACTTGCGGAATCCAGAACAACTAGTTAATTTTGCTCGCTGCCGTCTGCGATAAAAACTAATGTGTCGTTAAATTGACGTTAATTTTCATTGGTGCGTGGAATCCACGGAATCCAGTGACCATATACCAAACAGTGCGCCTATTCAGTGGACAGTTTGTTCTCGCAATGAAGTTATTGATTTGCTTGTTTAATTTTCGTGCCTATGGACGAACTATTCTATGATGAATGGTGTTTTTTTGCGCGCTTATCGAAAACACGCTAATTTTGATTCGGAGAAAGCGAAGTGAACAAATACACTCGATTGCAGGTTTTTCGTGTAATGTGTAACTACCTGGACAGAGACATTGGGAAGCCAGGGTGACTGCAGTTCCTCCGGAGTCAACTCAGATGGCATCTCCCAGTTCCAGTTGGCTCCTCCTGATTGCATCAATCCTCCTTCTGTTGGTCGCATGAAGGAAGTGTCGGTGTTCTCAAAATACCTGATCAGAGCGAAGCCAAAAAAAGTTATTAACAAACAAAAGAGACTAAGATAACCGCGCCATCGGCCAGATTTTTTGGCAACAAGGATGCAAGAAATGAGTGAAGATACCAAAATAAGTTTTTAGTAATTCAATTAAGATAACTTTTTTGTGTCTCTTTTTGACAAGATGTCACGTAAAACGAAAATCAACAAAACCATTTTGAAAAAAAAAAATTGTGCGGTTGGATATTTTTTCTGGAGTTGCTATCAAATTTTATTTTTTACTCCATTTTTTTAGTGACCACTAACAGCTGGTAACTTGATTGAAAACCGCTTCAAATCTGGTATAGCGTGCACTTGTTTAGTAGCTTCAAGTTGGCACAAAAAGACTTAAAAGAGCAATCGATATGATTTTTCAGTCTAAAAGGCAATCAACAGACCATTGGTTGAAGCGTTTTTCTATTTTTGTTCCGACAACTTCACGTTTTGCGAAAAAATATGGGGAGGGTGTTCTTTTTCCAACGCATTTCAACTACCTCACAGAGAACTCGTAGAGGGCAAGGAGTACGGTACCATATTATAGGCCCTGTTTCAATTTTTTTAAGAATCAGAAAAATATGTAAGGAAAAAAAATTAGGCTGCATTTTTGTCAATTTTTCGAACACTTTGATGATAGTAAAACATGTGACACTGAATTTGAGCTCAATTTGGTTTTAGTTCGTTGCATTCTGACAGTTGCTGTTTTCTAAGAAATATGAATAGAAAAAAAATGAAAAGCAAAATTCTTCAACATTATTTTTTGCTCACCTTAAAATTGTCGAAACATGCTGTTTTGAGCTGGATGCACAACAATCAGCAACACTTATTCCGTTTATGTTGGAAGGGATCACTTAAAAATTTTGCAATCAATGGGTTCCAGCGGTGAAAAAGTAAATACAATCAAAATGTCTACAAATGCCATTTTAAGATCAACATTTTCGGCGCTATTTTGTAAAACGAATAAAAAAGTCTGAAAAGAAGCAGCTGGAACAGGGGCGAATTTAGGGGGGGGGGGCGGGGGGGGGGGGGGGGGGGGCGGACGCCCTCTCCTCAGGGATTCGAACCCCTGCCAACCCAAAGGGTCCCCCCTTTGATACTTTTTAAGAAATCCATTTTTGGCCGACCGACCCTCAAATTTTTCTAAAGGCGCCTTCGGCGCCAATATATACTAATTTTGAGGGGGAGCGCGCGCCAAAAAAAACAAGTTTTTTTGTCAAAATTTTCCAAAAAGTGCCCAAAAACGGCTTTTTTGATCTGTTTTTTCAAAAAAATGCCTGCGGCGCAGAAAATTTGGCCAAAACAGGGTATTTTTACTGCTCTGGGAGAGCTCGGAAAATCAACCTGATCGACCTTAAAAAAAAGTCGTCTAAATTATTTTCGAATTTTTTGAAAATCATCCGCCCCCCCCCCCTCGAGAAAATCCTAGATCCGCCCCTGAGCTGGAATATTTAATTTTTGATGCTAGAATTTTTATTTTAAGTTTTCCTATAGTTTCTTTTCAGGTCAAATATCAGTTTAAAAAAATCCTCTGAAAGGCATTCTAGTTTTATTTCCAAGATATGTATACTAAATTATAGTCGAACAATTCGAAAAATCTGTATACATAAGAATGTTAAAAAAATAAAAAAGGATGGCTAAGAACCGATAGTTTGAGCTAACAAGTCCATTCAATTTACTTTTGATATTGAGATACTTTTGAATAGATCTCTATTGTAATTGTATAAAATAAAATCGATTGCAATCTTTTTTTATCAATGTGGGCATCATTTTTTTCTTGCTTTTTTGGCTCAGTGAACTTAAGCATTTTTTTTTAAGTTTCGACATGCAAAAAGACTGTTAAAGTGTGTCCCAACTAGGACCCGGCACTCTACCTGTCGGAGACTGTGATCACAGTGATGTTGTAGATGGACACTGGATCCAAATTGTCAACTGTGTGACTCCTGCTGGTCGGCGGAAGTGTAACTATGCCAGCTGTCGGTCGCTCTTCCTTCTCCGGGGAAAAACTCTCGGGTTGCTCGTGGTTGATCACTTCGTCGAACTCTATTCTGAACCCTGAAATCATTTCTCGCGTCTGTGAACACTTCATAAACAAAGGTTCATTAGGGTTAATCCACAATTGGCAAACCAACACGCAGAGATGAAAGGTCAATCAGAACAAATCAAATCATGCATCTTCTTCAAGATGAAATTCACATCAACTGAGTTCTCAAAATGAGAGCAATCAGAAACAAGATTAAGCCACTTCAGTACAATCAACGGTTTGTTTCATTCATGCTGAAAATTGTATTTTTTTTTAAAAATTATGCCCGATGGTTAAATATTTGATGATAATTATTTTGCAGCTCTAAAGCTTTCATAGTGGACTACATGAAAAATATGGAAAACCGTGCACTATATACTAACACAGAGAGGACTCGCTTCGTCTGCTGAGGCTGGAGGCAGTGCCCCCTTTACGTCCCCCCTGCTCCCCCCTCCCACTCGGGGGGTCATCAGAGTGATCTTGATCAGGTGACAATTTCTCTACTGAGAGCCAAATGGCTGCATGAATACTTCAGTCTTTAAGTATGCGTACGTGTTGGATACTCAGTAATTTTTATTCACTACAACTCGTCTGTTCTTTCAATGTATTTTATTGTTTTCTCAAATATAACGTAAACATCTCCCCTTCCCTATTAGAATTCTATTAAACCCCCCCCCCCCCCTCAAAGTATAAAAAGTGCTCACTGTTAAATATAGCAGTTGCTGCAAGTTTGAGCTTTCTGTTTTTTTTTGGGAGTTAAATATTTTCCTTCAATCTGATTGGTCAAAAAATTGTTTTCTCACCCAGAATAGTGAACCCATTTGTGTCTGGTAGATTCCACTTCACATCCACACTAGTGTCTGTCACTGTCCCCACCCTCAGCCCCTCCACCGCCCTCGGCTCCGCCCCCGTGCGCAACAACAGAGGGGGCTCACTCTTGTGTGACACGAGGAAGTGGCCCTGCTCTCTACTCCCCCACTTGTCTCTACTCGTGTACGACTGCATCCGACGACTCTCCACGAACACCACATACCTTAAAAGGAAGCAAATCGGCCAAATGTTGTCACATGTCTGAATGAGTCCAGTGGAAAAAAAAACACTATCTAAGATATCATCAATTATATAGAAAAATTATGATTCTCATCACAAAAATTGAGGGATACAAAAACTTTCAAACTTCCTTGTCTTCAAACAACTTCAGTTGATTCAAGTTCATAAAACTAGTTCCAAATACTGCATTCTTTTTCAACTTTTGGTTGTCGTGCGGATATATCGTGGCTGAGAACGCCTTTTTTTGTCTTTTTTTATAACTGGAGTGCGGCCTGTATTTAGACAACCGTGTATTCATACTCGTCAGTATTTAGACAAATACTGTTTCAACCAATCAGAATCGAGATAAGACATAAATAATCCAAAATAAATCATAATTCTTTATTAATTTCTTCCTTGTGGAACCTGATCTAAACTACATTTTATGATTGGATAAATTAGATATTTTACCAATGTAAAGTATTTAATATTAACCAATCATGATCCATCTAACTAACAACCCACTTATTTGTAAGTGCTGAAGTTACTTGTAATTTCAGCACCAGAGAGATTTGAATTTAACTTAGAAATTAGTTGGACTCTCCCGAGCACTTCAGCAGCCGCAATAAACCAGTATACCCTAGATCTATTGAGCCTAGCAGAGACTAGTTAAACAACCTGAGACTAGATAGTATAAGAGTAAGATTAGGATCGGTATTAGACTAAGAAGTTGCACGAATCTATCCGGCCGAAAATAAGATAGCGTGACGAGCAGACGGTGTACCCTATCCGAAATTACTCTATGAGTTAACCAACTCGGTCCTAACTCATCTGGTGCGACCATAAGTCTCGAACAAGACCTTAATAGCTTAGAATTAACCAAAATAGATTAGAAATTAGACAAAAACATTTACAAAATGTTATACGACAATAATTTAATCGAAATGTCTCTACGACTCAATAGATCAGAGCCAATATTCCGAACCATAACAGAACTACCCGGAATTGGAAGAAGACCTCGAACCAGAGACGACATACGACAAAGTAGAAACTTGCCATATAGCTATATGATAGTTAGGCAAAAACCAGAACAAACTTTTATATTTAGAATACTACTGGCAATGAATTTAGATTTTCATTTGCAAACATAAAATTTTGAAGTCAATCCTCAAAATCATTACAGGCGCTAAACAAAATTATTAATATACAATAACGATTGATAAAAAGATCTAAGATCGTTTTCCTAAAACTCTGCAGTAATATAAAAAACATATTTGAAAAATATTTATTGAAAAATAAAAAATAAAAATTAGTAGCATGACAATAAATGGTTAGTAATCATAAATCATCCTGTTGTTCCAGCTCCATCATCTAAAACATAACAGCAATCATAAACCCACTAATATCATCAAAACACTAAATCTTTCCTTTACACACATTTAAAATTTTATTAAAACTTAAATTCACTTAATTTTAAAACCAGATCATCAAGGCTTATCCTTGGATCTTAAATCATTTTCTACTTAATTAAATTTCAAATTTGATCATCAAGGCTTATCCTTGGATCAAACAGAACAACTTTGTTCTCCCCCACCCACTTAATTAGTGTCTAACGACCTCAAACGTCGATTCACTACCCAACCCTTTCTAAAGACCCAAGACTAATAGAAATTTTTAAACAAAACTAATCATTCAAATTAGGATAAACAGTGAAGAACTTCGGTTATTCATCCTTCACTTGACCCCTCCTCTTAACAGACCCAGGATAAATCTTAGACTTAGTAAGTTTAAAATAGTATCTAACGAACTACTCGCGTTCTAATTATACCTGAACCTTGTGGATCGATTTACTATTCTCCAACCCTTGAACACAATCACTACCCCTAAGTAAGATTAAGTAAGTTAACACCTTAACTTATACTAGCCACGAGAAAGTAAAAAATCATTCTTCGGAATCGATATACTTTTCTCTCCAACCCTGAACAAATAGACCCAGGTTAAGCTAACCAAAAAATCGTAAGAACTAACAGTTTAAGAAAATAGAAATCATTTAACAACCTTTTGCATCCGTCATTCTAAACCTTATGTCATTTCAAAACCTAGGAAATAAACAAACAATCGTTTTACACAATTGTGAAATAGATAACAAAAAATACGACCTTGTAATCACACCTCATACACAAACAGTTGGATACATTCGAACAAAACGACAAACACTAAAAAGAAAAATAAAAACGAAACAAAGACAAATAACACGAAAAAGATTTTCAAAAAATCGAAACGCATTTTCAGAATCAGAAACCAACAGTTTAGACGAACTTTACAAACTAAAAGAATCAATAGATAAAAATTACCCACTTCACGATCAATTATATTTTTCTGACTCAGAAACAACTTCAAATTCATCAAAAAGAGGAAAAAGAAGAATAAAAAAGCAGTATAAACACAAACCAGTACATTTATACAATTGGAATCAACCAATTCGACACATTAATAATTACATATTAACAGTCATCGAACAAAAAAATGAGCTCAACGCACACCCCAGGTGAAGAAAGTCCAGATGATGATGAAATCTTTCCTTTTATAGTAGATGCAGATACTGATAGAGGACAACACATATTTTGTCAAAATTTACTCGTAAATTTATTTGAACCCGGAATCAGTCCATGTAAAACAGAGTTCCCAGATGTAAAAATCAAAAGACAAATCATAGACCACTACTTAAAAGATATATGCAACATAACACAACAGTATGGAATCTACTCCATAGAATTCACCTCACCAAACCATAATAATAGAAAATATACAATTCAAACAGACGATCTTGATTTAGAATTTTCAAAAGTTTTTTCAGAATATATAAAAAGCATCCAATATCATAACTCACAAAGAGCAAACTCCATATTCACCAATGAAGTTTTCGCAATAATATATAGTTATATTTCGATATTAGAAAACGAAATCCCAATAACAAATGTCTCACCGACAGAAACATCTAAACATTTGAAAGTACGACATGAAATCACACTACTCTCTAGTTATTTAAACATCATTAAAGAAAATTTCACGAAAGACGACGTTTCACAACATACAAAACACGATCTACAAAAAATTTTGGCATGGTTCATAATAGATTATTTCACACACAATATTGATTTAATTGCACAAGCAAGAAAAAATTTTAGACCCCAAAACTCGAACGATGATACCGCTATCACAGAACAATCAGATTATGTTTGGGACCCCGAATGGTCTCATCCCGCATTTATAAGCTTCCCACAATCAATCTCAAGTCAAGCAATAAGTACAATATCTTACATAAGAGATTATGTAAAAGTAATACCATTAACCATTGATGCAACACCATTAAACTATAATACATTTTTGCCCGATACACAAAATAATAGTTTAAACTCTACAGTTATACACAATGAAAACCTCAATGGAACTAGGAATCTTACTCAACAAGATATCCAGACACCATCACACTTCATAAATGAAGAAATTGTACACACAACAACTACACAACAAAGTATTTCACCAATACGCCCAAATTTAACAACACCAAGAAATACAAATCCTTCACAAACACAGGTAACCTTACAATCAACCGTTAAACCTTCGGTTGCCCCTAAATATTCACATATGGATTACCAAACATACAGACCCATGACAATACCATCAAAAACACGCAAAACATTCACTAGAAACAACTTTACAGACCATAATTATAATTATACACATCCATCAAAAACATATAACCAACCACAAAGAAATTTTAACCAATATACAAGATCTCGAAATTGGGATAACCCAATGACCCAACCTAATTCAATAAATTTCCAAACAAATCCTCCACAGGATCACAGTGAAAATTACCCATTTTTTCAACAAAATAAAAATAAAAAACAGACATCTTATCAAATGGATTATTTATCCTCAGATGATGATTTCTTACAACCAGATATATTTGCACCAAATACTCAAGAATATCGTAGACAAGGAATACAGAAAACACGTACAAATCATAGAAATTTTTCTCCACAACCAATAGATGCACAACATCAACAACCAATTCAACAACAAAATCTAATAAATACACAATCTTTTCAACCAATTCAACAACAAAATCCAATGACTGCACACTCGTATCAAGCATCACAAATGCAAAATGAAATACCACTCCCATATTATCTCCAACAACATGAAATAACAAGAAACCAACTTTCAAATTTTTCTCAAATGCCAAATGCAGCAGAATCATTACAAATGACAATGAATCCATACCTTATGGGTGGATCATCAATAACATCAAACAAACCTTTAATGGTTTTCACAGGAACAGACCCTGAATACTCTGTAGAAGATTATTTAAATGCAGTAACAGCAAACCTGATTTTAAATATTGGACCTGAACCAATTAATACGCCACTACATCAAAATTGGATACATCGACGCACAGCGTTAATACAAACAACCTTAGACGGCGCAGCCCAAAAATGGTTTTCAGTACTACCTCTAGAAATAAAATCAAACTGGAAAAGGTTTACACAGGAATTTTCAAAAATGTTTGACTCCGAAAGAAACAAACAACAACAAAGAGTTTTATGTAATGAAATTCGCAGATTACCAAACGAAACCATCAAGCAAATAGCAGTACGAATCGAAACACTAGTTCGAAAAGCATATTCATTAAATACACATGACTATAAAAACACAAAGATGACAGAAATCTTAATGATGACCTTAACACCACAATTAAGGAAAATAGCAATAAAAAAGAGAGCATCCCATCCTTCTTCAATTCGAGAACCCGATTTAGATTTTCGAAAACTAGTAGACAAATTAGAACAAGCAGAAATCACGATGAAACTAGAAGAAACGGAAAATCTGAAATTACAATACGTTAATAGAATTGAAACGACTCCCACTAATTTTAATAATATACAGGAATCAGAGACAGACCTCGTTGAAAAAATCACTGAAATACTCAATATTTAC